AATTTAGCAATCACCATGAAAATGCCCACTAGTCCTAGTGAGTTTTAACTTGAGAAAATATTTTAGTATTTTCCAGGCATGTGAATATTGTGTATTTGCTCAGACTGAGTTACAAAAGATTTACTTTTGTTACTTGGAACTAGAGTGACTGTCATCAAGGTAACTTTGCTCTGTAGTTCACTGAAATTACAATGACAAGTTAATTGAAAAATTTTAGTAATATATTAAAATTATTGGTAGTGTTTATAAAATCTCTCTTAGCTTGCTAAATGTGAAAAATATCTCATTTTAATGTTACTAAAATTTTACCATTGTCTCTTAATGCTTGAATTTAATTTTCACCACATCATACAAAGACATGAATTTAATTCATAAGAAGAAAAAAGGAAAATATTAAAAGATAGTAAGAAGGTCTCTGCTTGGTGAAAACAAACATCAAACAATTTGTAACTCCAAAAAAGTGGGGATTATTTTTCAAAGTAAGTATTTATGCATTTTGAGGCAGTCCACCAAGCTAGTAATAATTTAGTCATTAAAATTAAAGAACAAATTAATTAATGGTTTTTAACATCCTTCAGTTCCACACATTGCTTTGCATTCACATTTATTGGAATTAAGTCATGGTGACTACCCATATGCTCATTGATTATAAGATAAAATGAGAGGGAATTATGTGGAATGAATATTACAAAGGGAACATGAATGGATGTTGCATGCTCTATTTCTATGTAAATCAATAAAACTTAATTCAAAATAAATGCATTTAATCAGAAAAAATATCATTAATCTCAATGTTATTTTGTAAACATTAACTATTGAATAATACTGTCCAAAAAGACACGTTCATAAAAAACCACTATTATCAATAAAATATATATTAATGTATATATTGAGCATAGTGCTAAAAAAAGTTGTTTAGTCCAACATATAAAAGAACTTAAGATTTAATATATTGCCTGCAAAAAAATATCTGTATGTATATAAGTAATGGACTTTTTAATTCAAAAGCCCATAAATTTTACTTGACAGTCTAATTATGCATAATATGCAAAATTAAAACTAAATTAACTTTTAAACTCATAGTTTCCTGAAATTAATTAAAAGCTTGAGATCTGTTTGCCATTTATTATAAATAACTTATTTACATGAGTTAGAATTTACAATATTTATTTAAAATAGAATAAGAAACAATGTAAGAGTAATTATGATGGAAGCATATGACTAGCATTTCTCCTTATATTCCCAATACATAAACTGAATGCTATAGGATATTGTGGGCTTAAAGGCTTCCACATTCACAGCCATCCATCCAGAGCCGTTATAATTTTCCCAAGAAACCTTCCAAAGCAAAACTGAACATTCTCGAACTATAACCTGTATCTGTGATGTAGCTTTCCACGAGTCCTCAGCAGTCAGTTGATTTGGTAAAAGTAAATTAGATATTCTTTTGTGCTCATTTTATAGATTTTTAAAAATCTTACCCCTTTTCCAATGAGCTACTTTGGCTTTGTTTCAGATGTACAGTTTAGAGGAAATAAACTACAGAATGCTCTCTTACCTTCTCTCACATGTCTGTATATCTACATGTTTCACTTCTCCTTGACTGCTTGATCTAGTTCGTTATTATGAAACACTTACTTTCAAACTTTATTTTCTGTTCTCATTTTCATAGCAAAGTTTCTTGAAAGCATTGAATAAACATGGGATCTAAGTCTTCTGGCCTCATATACAATCCTCAGTCAATTTCTACCTAATTTCTCAGCCAACTTCTTCAGCAAAGCTGTATGTAATGAGAACAGTTAATTCAATTGTGCTCTGTTGACTGCTTAATAGCATGTGATATGTGGAAAGTTATGCCTTTACATCTTGAAATATGATTCTCCCTTAACATCCACTACACTATACCATTGTGTTTTTCCAGGAACATCTTGGTCTCATAAGTGATAGTGGTGTGATTTCCCTTTCCTGTCAAACATGGTCTTGGATCACAGTTCTTATCCCTCTACTCTTCAGTAACTCAGTAAGAATACCTTGAACATCTATGCTGGGCCAGTCACGTCAGTATTGGGGAAGCACTTATGATATTACGGACATCTCTTTTTCGTAAAGCTTACATATACTCAACATGTGGTTTTACATTCACCCAGGGTTTGAATACCATTCACCTCATAAATTGACAAAATCCAAGCCAAAACAGGTTTCTTAATCAAGACCATTTTTTTTATCTTCATACTCATATATCTAAATATTATTTGACACTTCAAACTTAACAAGCATAAAACTGATGTCATATTTCACTTCATTCCCTAAATCTTGCACCCCTACAATTCTTGAAGTTGAAAACTATGCTCAGACATACATCTGCAGGGTTTTTTTTGGTTTTTTTTTTGGTTATGCTTTTCTAGTTCCTAAAGCATATCAATTTTTCTCTTCTCATAGATCCCTCTTCCATATTTTTCTGAGAGGCTTAATATCTCTACTTTTTGGGGGTAAGTCACTCTCTATGGGAATCCTTACCTAACCTTTACAAGTAGGTCCTCTTGTTATATCCTCATATCCACATATATATTCACATTCTTAGTTATAATTTTGGTGGTTATTCTCAACTTTGTTTAATGTCACTCTTTCCTATTACATTAAATTCTTTGAGGACCATTCAGTTCTGTACTTTACATGGATACTTTCTATGCATTTCAGTAATTTTCATACAGCATGATTCCAATAAATAATTGGGATTAATGAATAAATTATAACATTTCAGAAATAGGAAAAACTAACGTATAGCTGGGGAAATTTATACCAACAGAAGTTAAATTACAAAAGTAAAACTGAAGCTATAAACTTGAATTTTGTCCTTTTTCCTTCCAGGTACCAACCACTAGCTGAATATCTAAAATTGAAACACACCTGTTTTTGGAGAGGTGCATAAAGCGATATGCATATACATATACACATACATATACATGTGTGTACATGTATATACATGTACGATGTATACTTACTATTGGCTTTTATTAAAAATAATCTTATAAATTAGCAAGAAATTTGTGTATAGCATAATCTGTCAGAATTTTTTTACAATTTGCATTTTATAAATATTATTTAAATGCTGTTTTATTACATAAATATTCATTTACATATTAATAAAATAATTATTTCTTCCAAATAACTGAACCTGAGCTAGAGTAAAGCTTTAGGAGGACAGAGTATACAGTATTGCTGTCTTTTTTTTTTTTTTGAAATTCTGATCCAAACAGAAAATCATATTCATACATGGCCCTGATATCAAATTCATGTTCCTGGTATCTACTTAAAGGATGACTACTATAACTATAACATATTATAATTATAGAGACTGTTATTGATAATTTAAACTCATAGGAGCAAAGAGCTTTCTAGTACCTTCAGCCAACCATTCTGATTTTAGTGCCTCATAAGGATTTCCTGTCTGACTTTCAACAGATCCTTTAATCTCTCTAACTCCTATCGGAGAAATGAAGATAATGTGTTCACATTCAATGCAAGGTTGAGAAATAATAAATAATAACCTTAAATGAAAAAGTACTTTTAAAATTAAAACAAAGAAATTACAACATAAGATACTTATATTATTTCTAGATGCTCCCAACTACTTCTTAATATCAAATAACAACTGGAATAATTTACTGATTAATGTTAGTAATAAAAAAGCATAAAACAATCACCTTTAAGCCATATAACAAATAAAAATCATTTTATAGGAAGACTTATTTTATAAAAACTTTCAACTTGAAAAACCTGATGAGCAGTAGAACAAAAATCACAATAATGAGGTTACTATTAATTTTAAATCACATCAGGATTAAAAGAATGACTGAACTGATTTATATAACCCATAATTATGACTATGCTTCTCTCATCTCTCTTTCTCATGCACACACACACACACACACACACACTTATGTTTAATTAACCAGTAAATATTAAATATCCTCTTTAAAGGAACAATACATGTTAAAATATGGACATTTTAAACATTTTAAAATATGTACTCAATAACAGAGTTAAATATGGTTCTCAATCTGGATATATTCTTGCATCATGGCCACTATAACATGTTTTAGAAAAAAAAATCAATATCCTTCCTGTGGAAGGGTAGTACTGAACACACAATGACGCAAGCACTGTTATCTAACAAGAGTAGAAGCCAGCATCATGGGATGCCAATGTAGAGAGGCTTATCACTTAAGAGACTCTTGAAACGCTAGTTTGGCTTTTTCTGGGACTGTATGTGCGGCTTCTTCTGCTTTACTGTGTGAGTGATTTTATCTTTTCAAAATCAAATTGCTTGGTCAGGAACAGATGAATTATTATTATCTTTGGCCAATTGAAAGAAAAAAACTTATTTATTTATGCATACAAGTGCTGAGGTGCAGGCTAGAGGTGCGGGGTGGGGGTGAGAGGATTCAGCAGAGACAGAGTGGGAGCAGAACAGGTGAAAATATTGAAATACACTGCTGAGAGAAGCAACAGGTGAGACAGGAGAGGTCTGCTGCACCCTGTGGGTCACCTCCCTGGCTGGGGATCAAACTTGTGCTGCAGTGGCTGCTGATAGCTTCATGGTGCTCTGACTTAACCCCTTGTGCCACCAGCACAGCCTACCAAATTTTACTGAGTGGAAGTCCAGCCCGCCTGATTAGTAGAGAAGTGACCATCTTCACAAAGGTGTTTAGAACTTCAACATAAATTATTCATGCTCTTTCACCAGCCATCCTTTGTAACTCCCCCTCTTCCTCTTACCCCAACTTGGTCACCAAATTGTGTTTAAAAGTTAACTGATAGTCAAGGCTAGAGCTATTAGGAAATGCTGAGTGTTAAATGTTACAATTATTATGGTTAGAACCTAGACATTCACTTTCTGCTATTAAATTAAGTTTAATATTAAGGAAAAAACCCAGAGGGATTATACAATTGGATATATAATTTATTTTCAGCCTAAGAAAGCATATAGTGTTGCTTACCTTTAATAATGTTGGGCTTTGGTGGCATGCTGAACTCATACACTGTGGGTTCTGAATATCCCAATCTATTGGCAGCTGTGATTTGAACTTCATACCCCATTGTCCACTGTAGATGCTCCAAGATAATGTGGTCTTTATTTCCCTGTACTTTTTTCTCTAGCCACTGATCTTCTTTATCTTTCTGTAAAGTCAGTAAACATATTTTGTGAACAGCCATAAAGTTGTGATTTTGTAAAAAAAACATGTAACTTGATAAGGAAAAAAATATCCTACTAAGAAAAAAGTTGTATTTTCTCATGCACAAGGTTAAGTGAAATTTCTAGCTACAAAAATGTCACTATAGAGTTTCTCAGATATTTCTTCAAACATATAGTGTTTTTCTATTAGTTAAAAGGTTAATAATTAATCCTTGTTTTTCAGCGGTTGATAATTTGTTTCCATTATCCCCCCCAATATATTTCAGTTTCATATCAGCCATTTTGTTGATTACTAATAATCAGATAAATGGGAAAGATGAAACATGATGCATGAGATAAAAATACATCCACTAAAATGTAATTGCCAGAAATTATTATTTACGGTTTGAAGTGGGAGTAGATATAAAATATAAAATGCCTTGCAAATAAAATTGAGATCTTATATATAGATTTAAATTACGAGTTTTCAAAATTATAAAGATATTTTAGACTATGAAATAATATGCAAGGAAAAGTACTACCTGTTAAATATTATATCAGCATAAGTCAATTTAAAAAGTTATTCTATCAGTAACTATTTTCACTATTATCCTTTTGTCTAAAAAAATAATAATAAATTTTGGCCTACATGATATGTAAATTAGCATTCATTTGAAAAATATATTATGACTAAAACTGATACAGAAAAGAAAACTGATACAGTTTTATTAAACAGTTCCCAATATTGTGATAAGTTGGTCATATGTTAACCACTTAAACACTGGTGAATTTTCTATGCCTTGATTCTTCTTCTCTTAAAGAAATAATGGAATTAGTTCTCTCTGTCAGCTTTCATAAGGAAAAATCTGGACAACTAAATTAATTATGCATTCCAAGATCTTACAAATCTATTATCACTTACCAAAAGACAGCTTTTACTGAAGAGAAACTATTTATAAAATAACTATATGGAAATGAAATACATTTTCTCTGGACTCAGATCTCTAATAATACATCACTATAATTCAAGCTTAACTTTCCCAGAGTCATAACTATAGGCAAATTATACATAGATTAGTGTTAGGTAGGTAGGTAGATAGATCGATAGATCAATCAATTGATAAATAGAGACAGACAGACAGAGAGATAAGGCAATGATATAACATTGAGACCCCAGAAATAAGCACAAACTGACATGTATAGTTTAAATCTACAACACATAAGAGAAGGTTGTACACTGGAGAAGGAAAAATCACTTCAACAATTGGTGCTGGGAAAACTGGACAGTCACATGCAAAACAATGAAACTAAACCACTACTCATATAATATACAAAAATTTGATTAGAAACTTAGATGTAAGATCTAAAACACCCTACCACATTGGTTTCATGGTTATCTTTTACGACTTGACTCCAACAATAGAAGAAACCATAACGAAAGTACATCAAGCTGAAAAGATTTTGTACAAAGCAACTATCATTGAAATGAAAACACCCTATTGAACAGGAGAAAGTATTTGCACATCATAGATCTGGCAAGGAGCTGATATCTAAGATTTACAAAGAACTTTTATGAAACAACAAACCAATCAAAAAGATGGACAGAACTAAATAGAAATATACAAGCAAACATACAGATGGCTAACAGGAACATGAGAACATGTTCATTATCACTTAACATCAAGGAAATTCCAATCAAAACCACAATGGGATTGTACATCACATATGTGAGAAATGCTTGTACTAGAAGACCAGACGCCACCATCTGTGAGGGTGTGGAAAAAATTAACTCTTGTATACCTTTGGTGGGACCCTTGTACACTGTTGTTGGAGATGCCAACTGTTACAGTCCTTATGGAAAAGTCTGGAGGCTTCTTAAAAACTTAAAAATAGATGTATTATATGATCCAGCAATTCCACTCCTACATATCTCTTTGAAGAATGCAAACACACTTCTTAGAAGGGATATATTCACACCTGTATTCATTGACGTACTATTTACAATAGCCAAACTTTGGAAACAACTTCAGTTCTCAATGACAGATGAGCGAATCAAAAGATGTGACCTATATACACAATGCAATACCATATAGCTGCATACATATAAAAAGACAAACACTTAGGATTTGTGATAACACGAATGGAATTAGAGACAATTATGCTACGTGAAATAAGTCAGATGGAAAAAAAGATATTATATTGTTATAGGCATATGTGGATTTTAGAGAAACCAAAGGATCTGAAAAAAACTAAAAACAAACTCTAGGTATCTTATTGTAGAACCAGGGCTCCCAGTGGTGAGTGAAGAAGGGAAGAGCTTCAATTAATTGTGATGGACTGTGGGTGTCTTGGTGGAGGCTTTGGAGTACTTAACATACATCCAAGTAAGTCATCAAAATTTAGTTTTAAAAAGTGAAAATTAAGGACAAAATTAGCAGATGTCGTTCCAGTTTTTTAACCTGAGAGCTAAGCTTGTTATTAATTTATATTGAGCCACTATATTACAATGGTTTCCTTGACTGTAGAGATTAACAAACAGATTAAGGTGAAAATTGATGACTTACTCTTTAAAATCAAATTGTGGAAGTTTATTATTGTACTAAATTTATGGTATTATGAGCATGAAGTATCACTCAAAAGGAGGCAGGAACATAAAACTTTGATACCATTCTATTTTTCTCCTTTTCCATTTAATTACTTTTGGTCAAATAGATTTTATTACAAAAGCAATCCATTGGCCTGTTCTATTATTTCCTTTAACAATTAAAAAAGTAATGCCACTAATGAAGTTACAGTTTTTTGAACAGCAATTAAAACTCCAATATAAACAAGAGGCGTTTCTTTTGTTTTCTAAAACAGAGATTTACTTTTTCGACTCTATGTTCCCTGGAAATATTTAAGGTGTTATTTGAAATCTACTTGAAAAGTCATGTAACAGAGAGACTAAACTGAGTCCAGAGGGCTCAGGCCACAGAGGGCTCCTTAGGAAGTGATGTCATTCTCATTGAAAATAGTAAACTCAAGTGTCATATTCCTTTTAAATTATCCTAATCTGGTTAATGAAAAGAAAATAGAATTTCTTCACAGAGATTTAGATCCCAAAATAAGCACACTGTGTAAATCTCAGAAAGGTGCACACCTAATGGGAGATGTAAAAATAGACACTGTAGACTTACTGTTTTAAATAAATGTGAAAATCCTTCAAAGGAGTTAACATAGATGTGTATACACACACACACAACATACATGAACAAGGTATACCAAATATATATTTGACATAACATATAGCTTTGACAAATTTTACACTGAATATATCTTATATCACATTGATACATAACACCCCCATCCCCACCCCACCTCACCCCCCAACACAGGAAGCAGGGTATAGAGCTGGAAGCCAAAGTGTCAAATCTGGTGAAAGGCTACACAAGCAGCTGGCAGTTGTAAGCCCCTGTAGCCTCAATTATTCAATAAATTTTACAGAACTATGAAGTACTTAGTGAGAGTGACTATTTGTAGAAATCCACAGTTGACTTTTGCTGTGGATCTTAGTAGAGGTGTGTGCAAAATAAAAAGTCAATGCCTAAGATGTGATTACCCCTTGAGATTTATTTCTCAAAGATATCCTTCAGAAATCTTGCAAAAGTGCTACTACTTGGAGACTAAGCAGTTGAGGTGAAACTTCCTGACAAACAAAAGACAGGCAGATTATCTATCCTCAATTACCAATTACTTAACTCTTAATTGTTCAAGCCCTTTGTATGTTAAATTAAAAGTTACTCTGTCATTTAGTTCATTGGACTGATGACATAAGACACCAAAGGGGCTTCTAGTATTTTCCCCATTTTAATCAACTTCATTTTACATTCAATATTACACAAGGAGATATTTTTTAAACCCCTAATTGCTATTCTGAGGAAATAGGGAAAAAATTAAAGTGGGTGTTACCAAATACTCCCCTAGGCATCAAAATCTCAATTATGCACTTGTAGAGTGCTTAATTTACAAAATTTAAAAGCCTAGGGAACGATTTAAGATAATCTAGTTGCAAAACGTTCCCCTAAGTAACTTAATGAGATGATTTGCTGAGTAGGACTATTATTAATAAGCCAATTAAATGCTGAAGGGCAGCGACTGAAAAAAAAATGGTCATTTTGCTTTGATACAGTTTCTCTTAAGCAATCTTCTTTGTCAGAAACAGAAGTGCTATATGACAGTTAAGGACACTCTTTAATAGTTATTCTAAAATCATAACATCAGCACTTAGGGAAATGTTTGCTATTAGCTATTTGGGTAGGAGAGCAGAGGAAAGATGGAGGGATAGACTTTGGTTATCTTATTTGTAGAGATCTCCCTAACTGTTTGTATTCACAGTAAAATGAAATCCACTAACTCTCTTAAGTCTAAAAGAATATATAATCATCATCATCTTACACGACGATAAATAATTATAAAATAGAGGACAATAGAGGAGTTGAGTTCACATTAACGGGCTGTGTTTAAGATACTTATGATTTCCACGTGTTATAATTTACAATTCTGTGTTTCCATATAAGGCAGCTTCTAGTTCCTGAATTTCCTGGTTACATGGTTCAGCTGTTCACTATTTACATGAACTTTTAAACAGCCACAGTACTTGTGAAATCTCAGTTTGCTACACTGAATATCAGGGAGGTGATTTACCAATCTGGTTAATTCTTTTATAAATACATATGTTCCACTGTGATTTGAAAATATGTAGGTTTTTGAGGCTTTTATGTTTGCAATTTTAAATTCTCAACTTCTTCTTGTGCATTATCATAAACACTAGCACTGATTCAAGTTGCTTGTATTGTATGTCCTGAAACTTGATAAAATTTTGTAAAGTAGTTCCTACTTAATTTCTTCTTTGTTTCTTTTATATTACAGATTTATTTACTTATGCAGTGCAGAACTGGGGTACAGGCCAGAGGTGCAGGGGCAGTGAGAGGATTCACCAGAGACAGAGTGCCTGACAAACAGGCAA